GGAGCATTTAATTGTATCATTCAGGAGAAAGGAGGCTTTCTGTTCCAGGTATGAAGAGTTTTGATAGAGGAATTAAGGGTTTATCCCACTGTCAGAAGAACAGGGGGTTGAGAAGGTCAGGGAACCTGTGCCCGACCAGCACAGGCTTCGGGACCACAGTGAGTGGTTCTCAGGAGCTTGTGGGGAAGCCGCCAAGCATCTGCGTCTGCTGGTGCAGCTCCCTCTGGGGCTACCAGTCTCTCCTTTTTCTTCTGTTGTTCAAATCTCTCTTATGCTCTCTGCATCTGTGCTAGAAAGAAGTTTATGGCAAGTAGCTCCCAGCTTCTGATCTGCGGAGGGGGGCTTAGAAGGAGGGTCGTCAGGACGCCAAGCTGACAGCGGTTCAGAATTGGGTTCAGAATTGCGACTTTTCACAAAGGGGTGAGCAGGGGTGGAGGCCCCAGTGGGGAAGGCAGGGCCTCCTGGGTCAGCGGCAGCAGTTGTTACTACCTCCGGCCTGAAAGGCAAGAAGAGGAGGAAGCAGTTCCTAAGAACGGGGAGAAATTCCTGGTGCAAGTGGCTGTTCGATTTGCCCAAAGGGGGCGTGGCCATTGGTGGACCATCTCGGCCAGGCTAGCCAGGCCAGCAGCAGCAACTGCAGGGTTGGAGCTCAGACAGCACAAACCGCCCCCCACCTCCGACTCTCTTCCTGCCTTTTCCCCCACTCTTCCCAACCAGGCTGGGACAGAAGCCAGGGGCACTGGAGCCTCTTAGGGTCCTTACTGTGGCCCCTCCCGGGACATAGAGCAGGGCGGAGATAGGTGAGGAGGGAGGCTGGAGGGCAAACAGGAATAATCCACCAGGCAGAGGCCGTAACTAGACGCATAGAGCGTGTTTTTATCTTGGGAGGTGAAGCATTTTTTCAAGAAGGGGAAGGAGAAGCAACAGAAAAACAGTGGTTAAGCCTGAACTTAAAGAGGAGACAGGTGCTTAAAAAGATCGTGGAGGGGAACCTGTATTGAGGACAGTTTGTAGAACTTGTAGAGAAGAGTGGACTGGGGAGTGGGATGGTGTTGGGCAGGTGAAGGAAGGAGGACAACGGGAGCCGCTCTTGCCTTCTGTAAGGTGGCATGGTCGTGGGCCTTGTGATGGGGTGGAGAGCAGGCCACGGGCAGACGCTGTGGTCGCCGCGAGGTCAGTGTGGACCCAGGCTGTGAACATAAAGGCAGTAAGTTTGGGACCTTGCTAGTCATCTCCATAGCCCTCTGAAACCATTCAGAAAGCTAGGAAAACAGAAGAAAATCGAAAAAGGGGAAGTCAGGGAAAGGGAGAGTTGGGGAGGGAGGTGCATTGGGAAAGCTCCCTTCAGAGCACGCACACAAATTCCTCATGGGTGACTGACTTCCTTTGGAGCATCAAACTTTCTTCAGCCATGTCTGTATTCTTTCAAACAAGGAAATTCAGGCGCTTGTCATTATTAATCACGATGCTTCAAAACTAATATATTTACTTCTTTAAAATGATAGGCTAGTATACTGGAATGATCTCTATTAGTAGCTTATTTTATAATGCTAATACTAAAATTACAGATACTCTGGGCTGACATTTTCCGTTACTGGTATACTTGGTTTTCCTGATTGCTTTATGTGGAACTTCTCAAACAGATGAACTTGCGTTCACTTTCTTGCGACCGGATCCTTCCTATATACTAAGAATATTTAGCGTGACCTGTACCTTGTGGGAGGTACTTGGCTGGGAATTTCTTCTTTTTCGTCCGGTCCATGAACCAGAACTATAAAAGGGAGAGGGGCATCCGGCAGGACAGGGAACCTCCAGAGAAGGGCTGAGCACAGGCTTCTGAGACCCAAATGTCTCTGCTGTGCCGCTAGGGTTTCCCAGGGACCAGGCGGCATGCGGTGGGACTGGCTGGTGGAAAACTGCTCTTCAGCTCTTAGAAGCTCCTGCTAAGGAAAAATTTGGAGCAAGTGACGTTTATACACACAGATTTTCAGTAGCCTGATTTTATTTACAGAAGGCTTTAATTAAACAACATGTAAAATATTTATTTGTGGAGAGGTTATCTCTTGAGAAAGCTTTTAGTTTCACTAAAACTTCCAGATTTAGTCTTTTTGTCCCCCATAACCCATCTCAACCGCTTTCCATCATGCAGAGGAGGCCACCGGCCCCGAGAGCCAGAATAGAGGCACACCACAAACAGGGGACACACCTGTGCGGACACACTGTTTCTGGAAGGTCCTGGTGAAGGGGGAGCAGAGAAGGGACACGCCGAGCACTGTTGGTAGCCGCCCACTTTCAAGGCCGACCTCTGATGGGCCCGCTGGTCGCTGGTGCTGACCGCATCCCGGATCCTCCGGGCAGTGTAGCATTGGGAACAGGACCCGAGGGGCCTGCTGCTCAACAGCCTGGCGAGCTCCGTGCTTTGGTCTCATCATCCGTAAAGCGAGGACGTCCGTGCTGTGAGGGCCAGTGATCGCGCGTGGGAAGGGCGGCTGCCGTACCGGGCGGGCTGTCCGTGAGCCGCCGTCTTTGCCCGGCACAGTCACTGGGGCACGGAGAAGAGCAGTCAGGTCTGTCGCGGAGCCATTCTGAGGACAGGAGAAGCGGTTTCCTTTAGCTCCTGAGATTATTTGTACTGGAATGTTGAAAGATGATTTGGGGTCATGTGATTATGTAATCAAACTTAATATCAAAGCAGTAGACTCTGGTCTAGCTCTTTTAGACTGAAGGTATTTCAGGACGAAGTGGGGCAGCGCTCTGAGTTAGGAGTTCACGGACCGTCTTCGGCCATGACCCACGTTTCCTCTCTAAAGCCTCTTCAGGGCTCTCCTGTAGATTCGAGTTGGGCTTTTTCCCTTGGAACTGGGCCTGGAGGATTTTTCAGGCAGGGCGTTAGCATCCTCCAGCTCTGCTTTTAGATCGATCATGTTCTATTTTCTCTCGCGCAGCTCTCTCATCTCCCCACCACACCACCACCTCTGAGTAGGTACGTTCTAGCCTAGTTCTCTCAAGCCCAGTTCTTAGGCCATTTGCGGGTTCACCGAATGCCTGCCGTGCGCTCTTTGCCATTCTGGTGACATGAGGGTTACAGCAAGGCACAAGGTCTCCGGCCTTCAGGAAGCTGACATTCTGGTGGGGGTGGGGAGACGGACAGAACGCAAGTAGCCCATCTGTGTCCGTCGGGCCCAGTGCTGAGGAGGGAGATGGGGAGAGCCGTGTGGAGGGAGCTGTTGTGGATAGGGTGGCCAGGGGAGCCCTTCCCAGTCCGTTGACATTTGCCCAGCGACGAGAGAAGGAAGGGGGCAAGCCATGCTGCTGCCAGGAAGCACGTCGTGGGCTGGAGCAGGAGTCCTGTAGAAATGCCCCTGGCGCTCCCGGGAGCAGGACGCGGCAGGACTAGAGCAGAGCGAGCCGGGCAGGAGGTCAGAGAGGTAATGGGCTGGAGACAGGGCGCCCGAAAGCAGCTTCACGTGAATGAGAGGGGGAGCCCCCAGTGGGGTTGGAGATAAGGAATTCATCTTACCTTTTCAAAGGGTCACTGACTTTCCTGCCAGCAAGTTTACGCTAGCTCAGTAAGCCATTGTAGTAAAACTCTGTCCTAACTTACCCTAACCCATAGGTATTTCACAGCTTTTTTTTGGTGGGGGGTGGGGGAGGGGGAGGGAGAGGGGTAGAGAGACTCTTAAGCAGGCTCCATACCCAGCCTGGAGCCCAACATGGGGCTCGACCTCACAGCCCTGAGATGATGACCTGAACCGAAGCTAAGAGTCAAGCGCTTAACTGACTGAACCACATAGGCACTTCTCGCCACTTCTTTTTTAAATAATTGATTTTAAGGACTTTTATAGCAGTTTGGCCATGTTCTACTCAGCTGACTCTGAGAAGGAGATAGGCCCAGGCCAAAGGCAAAATAAAATTATCTCTTGATTTGTTTTCTAAGAGGAGTGGTACATTATATGCTAATTACATTAGCAAAGGTAATCCATAGTGTTGACCCAATCAAATGGCTTTGGGAAGCGTCTAGGTCCTAGCCTGATGAATTTTTCTTTTCCTCCGTATCTCGTACTATCCTCCAAAGCGACCGTTACAATTCCGTCTTTCACAGTAATGGCCAATAATAACTCTGCGAATACTAGATTGGCAGATAAAACACGATGTGGGCGTTAGAGGTGCTGGAACTTCTTGCACCCTCCAGAAAAATCTGGAAGAACGGTCACTGCTGCGTTAGCTTATGCTGCTTAGTCCTTTGTCCCTGGGAGTTAAGGATAGATGGCTGCCTTGCACACAGTTACGGGTCAGGAGAGAGATTAAGCCCTAGGTCTGTGCGGATTGCTGCAGCCGTGAGCAATCCAGGTAGTGAGAAGACTTGAGTGTCCTGGGGTCGCCAGTCCTCACAGGTAGTAGGTAATTACAGGAAATCTGCACTAAGGTGCATTTGGACATGAGAGACTGATTTCTGTTCCCCGGGCGAGTTCTGTTTCTCAAAGTCGGGGAGGGCGGGGACAGCCAGTGGAGGGATTTGCCTCGTCATTATTTAAGACCTTAGTCCAGCGATCAGGCTAATACAAGAAAGCCAATAGATGAAAGTGTTTTTTTCTTTCAACCTTCCCTGCGTAACTGGAAGATTGACTTAAAAATTATTGTTGTTTTTTTTTTAATTAACAGTAATAGCACAGCCCCATATTTTAGCCCAGTTGGATGTTGGGGGCTCATTTATTTAATAATGAGGTGGGGCGGTTTTTTTTCTTTTCTGTACCAAATTTGTATTTACTCAGAATGTTTCTTTTCATACTCCCATAGACTTCTGCCTCACCATTGAGGCCATTTCTCTGCTTATTGGCACTTTCAGAAATGGACAGGACAAGAAATGAAAGGAAATTCAAACCGGTTCCCCTTCATCTGGGCATCTGAATTATTGTATCCCCTCCATCGCCCAGACTTGATTTCCTTTGTGCGGAGGAGATGCGTGTCTGATATTTTTCTCTCTCCTCTTGCATTTCCAGGAGGGCTGTTGGCCTGCTGCCGTGCTGCTGAACAGTATGCAGTCCTTCCGGGAGCAAAGCAGTTACCACGGAGACCAGCAGAGCTACCCGCAGGAGGTACACAGCTCATCCCGGATAGAAGAGTTCAGCCCGCGTCAGGCCCAGATGTTCCAGAATTTTGGGGGTGCAGGCAGCGGCGGCGGCAGCAGCAGCAGCAGCAGCGGCGGTGGGCGACGAGGCTCGGCGGCTGCGGCAGCGATGGCTAGCGAAACCTCTGGCCACCAGGGCTACCAGGGCTTCAGGAAAGAGGCTGGAGACTTCTACTACATGGCAGGCAGCAAAGACCCCGTGACAGCAGGAACCCCGCAGCCGCCGCAGCGAAGGCCTTCGGGGCCCGTGCAGAGCTACGGACCGCCCCAGGGGAGCAGCTTTGGCAATCAGTATGGGAGCGAGGGGCACGTGGGCCAGTTTCAAGCCCAGCACTCGGCCCTCAGTGGGGTGTCCCACTATCAGCAGGATTACACGGGGCCTTTCTCTCCAGGGAGCGCTCAGTACCAGCAGCAAGCTTCCAGCCAGCAGCAGCAGCAGCAGGTGCAGCAGCTGAGACAGCAGCTCTACCAGTCCCACCAGCCTCTGCCACAGGCCACCGGCCAGCCGGCGTCCGCGTCGTCCCATCTGCAGCCGATGCAGCGGCCCTCCGCTCTGCCGTCGTCCGCTTCCGGGTACCAGCTGCGGGTCGGCCAGTTTGGCCAGCACTACCAGTCCTCCGCCGCCTCCTCGTCCTCCTCCTTCCCTTCGCCGCAGCGTTTCAGCCAGTCCGGCCAGAGCTACGATGGCAGCTACAGCGTGAATGCGGGCTCCCAGTACGAGGGACACGGCGTGGGTTCTAACGCGCAGGCGTACGGCACGCAGTCCAACTACAGCTATCAGCCTCAGTCTGTGAAGGGCTTCGAGCCGGCCAAGGTTCCCCAGGGGACGCAGCAGGGGCAGGCGCCCGCGCAGCCGCCGCAGCCCCCGCCGCAGCACGTGATGCAGTACACGAACACCGCCACCAAGCTGCCCCTGCAGGCCCAGGTGGGGCAGTACAGCCAGCCCGAGGTTCCGGTGCGGTCCCCGATGCAGTTCCACCAGAACTTCAGCCCCATCTCCAACCCTTCCCCCGCGGCCTCTGTGGTGCAGTCTCCAAGCTGCAGCTCCACCCCGTCCCCCCTGATGCAGAGCGGGGAGAACCTGCAGTGTGGGCAGGGCAGTGTGCCCATGGGTTCCAGAAACCGAATTTTACAGCTAATGCCCCAGCTGAGCCCGACGCCCTCCATGATGCCCAGTCCTAACTCGCACGCCGCAGGCTTCAAAGGGTTTGGCCTAGAAGGAGTGCCGGAAAAGCGGCTGACAGACCCCGGCCTGAGTAGTTTGAGCGCCCTGAGTACGCAGGTGGCCAATCTTCCTAACACCGTTCAGCACATGCTACTTTCCGATGCCCTGACACCTCAGAAGAAGACCTCCAAGAGGCCCTCCTCCTCTTCGAAGAAAGCGGACAGCTGCACAAACTCCGAAGGCTCCTCCCAGCCTGAGGAGCAGCTCAAGTCCCCTATGGCCGAGTCGCTGGACGGAGGCTGCTCGAGCAGCTCCGAGGACCAAGGCGAGCGGGTGAGGCAGCTCAGTGGCCAGAGCACCAGCTCGGACACCACCTACAAGGGCGGGGCCTCCGAGAAAGCGGGCTCTTCCCCGGCGCAGGGCGCTCAGAGCGAGGCCCCCAGACTCAGTGCCAGTCCCGCGGCCAGAGAAGAGGCCGCCTCGCCTGGGGCTAAGGACACACCGCTGTCGTCCGAGGGCAACCCCAAAGTCAACGAGAAGACGGTTGGGGTGATTGTCTCCCGGGAAGCCATGACAGGACGGGTCGAAAAACCTGGTGCACAAGATAAAGGCTCCCAGGAGGAGGATCCCACAGCCACGCAGAGGCCACCCAGCGCTGGAGGGCCAAAGGAGACCAGTCACCCGTCGGTCCCACAGCCAGAGCCCCCGGGGGGAGGGAGCAAAGGAAACAAGAATGTAGATAATAACTCCAACCACAATGGAGAGGGAAACGGCCAGGGCGGGCACTCGGCGGTGGGCCCCGGTTTTACAGGCAGGAGCGAGGCCGGCAAATCTCCCGGCAGCCTGCGCTATAGTTACAAAGACAGTTTCGGGTCAGCCGCGCCGAGAAACGTCAGTAGCTTTCCTCAGTACCCTACAGGACAAGATAAGGGGGACTTCGCTGGCCACGGGGAGCGCAAGGGGAGGAACGAGAAGTTCCCCAGCCTGCTACAGGAAGTGCTTCAGGGCTACCATCACCACCCGGACAGGAGGTACTCCAGGAGCGCGCAGGAGCATCAGGGCATGGCGGGGGGCCTGGAAGCAGCCACGAGGCCTAATGTCTTAGTCAGTCAAACCAATGAGTTAGCTAGCAGGGGCCTCTTGAACAAGAGCATCGGGTCCCTATTAGAAAACCCGCACTGGGGCCCTTGGGAGAGGAAGTCAAGCGGCACGGCTCCCGAAATGAAACAGATCAATTTGGCTGACTATCCGATTCCCAGAAAGTTTGAAATAGAGCCTCAGTCATCGGCCCATGAGCCCGGGGGTTCCCTCTCTGAAAGAAGATCCGTGATCTGTGACATTTCTCCACTAAGACAGATTGTCAGGGACCCGGGGGCGCACTCACTGGGACACATGGGTACCGACACCAGACTTGGGAGGAGTGATCGGCTCAATCCAAGTTTAAGTCAGTCGGTCATTCTTCCCGGTGGGTTGGTATCCATGGAAGCGAAGCTGAAATCCCAGAGCGGGCAGATAAAAGAGGAAGACTTTGAACAGTCCAAATCTCAAGCTAGCTTCAACAACAAGAAATCCGGAGACCACTGCCACCCTGCCAGCATCAAGCACGAGTCTTACCGAGGCAACGCCAGTCCTGGAGCCGCTCACGATTCCATCTCAGACTATGGCCCCCAAGACAGCAGACCCACGCCGATGCGGCGGGTTCCTGGCAGAGTCAGTGGCCGGGAGGGCATGAGGGGTCGGTCCCCTTCGCAGTATCATGACTTCTCAGAAAAACTGAAGATGTCTCCTGGGAGGAGCAGAGGCCCAGGGGGAGACCCTCATCACATGAACCCACACATGACCTTTTCGGAGCGGGCCAACCGGAGTTCTTTACACGCTCCCTTCTCTCCCAACTCAGAAAGCCTGGCCTCTGCTTACCACGCCAACACTCGGGCTCATGCTTATGGGGACCCCAACGCAGGTTTGAATTCTCAGCTCCATTATAAGAGACAGATGTACCAACAGCAGCAAGACGAGTACAAAGACTGGAGCAGCAGCTCTGCTCAGGGAGTGATCGCCGCCGCGCAGCACAGGCAGGAGGGACCACGGAAGAGCCCGAGGCAGCAGCAGTTTCTTGACAGAGTGCGGAGCCCTCTGAAAAACGACAAAGATGGTATGATGTATGGCCCACCAATGGGGACTTACCATGACCCCAGTGGTCAGGAAGGGGGGCGCTGCCTCATGTCTGCCGATGGTCTGTCTAACAAAGGCATCGAGTTGAAGCATGGCTCCCAGAAGTTACAACAAGAATCTTGTTGGGATCTTTCCCGGCAGACTTCTCCAGCCAAAAGCAGCGGTCCTGCGGGGATGTCCAATCAGAAGAGGTACGGGCCACCCCACGAGGCCGACGGACACGGGCTCGCCGACACGCCGCAGTCGTCCAAACCCAGTAATGTTATGCTCAGGCTCCCCGGCCAAGAGGATCATTCTTCTCAAAACCCTTTAATCATGCGGAGGCGGGTGCGTTCCTTTATCTCTCCCATTCCCAGCAAGAGGCAGTCACAGGATGTGAAAAACAGTAACACGGAAGATAAAGGGCGCCTCCTTCACCCACCGAAAGAAGGCCCCGACCGAGCGTTCAATTCCTATGCGCATCTCTCTCACAGCCAGGATGTCAGATCCATCCCGAAGAGAGAATCCTCCAAGGACCTTCCAAGTCCAGATAGCAGAAACTGCCCCGCGGTTACCCTCACAAGTCCTGCTAAGACCAAAATACTGCCCCCTCGGAAAGGCCGGGGCTTGAAATTGGAAGCTATAGTTCAGAAGATCACGTCCCCAAACATCAGGAGGAGCGCATCCTCGAACAGCGCGGAGGCCGGGGGAGACACGGTCACTCTCGATGACATTCTGTCTTTGAAGAGTGGCCCTCCCGAAGGTGGCAGTGTTGCTGTTCAGGATGCCGAGATGGAGAAGAGAAAAGGTGAGCTGGTGTCTGACCTGGTCTGTCCGACAAGCCAGGACCTGAACATCGAAAAGCCCCTGCCAAGGGCTTCAGAGGAGTGGCGTGGCGGGGGGGATGACAAAGTGAAGACCGAGACGCACCCGGAGACAGTCACTGCTGGAAAGGACCCCCCTGGCGCCATGACATCCGCGACCTCACAGAAGCCTGGGGGTAACCAGGGGAGACCAGATGGTTCCCTTGGTGGGACTGCACCCTTAATCTTCTCGGACTCAAAGAATGTACCTCCAGCGGGCGTGTCGGCCCCTGAGGCAAACCCCAAGGCTGAGGAGAAAGAGAACGATACAGTGACGATTTCCCCCAAACAAGAGGGTTTCCCCCCGAAGGGGTACTTCCCATCAGGAAAGAAGAAGGGAAGACCCATCGGTAGTGTGAACAAGCAAAAGAAACAGCAGCCACCACCTCCGCCCCCTCAGCCCCCTCAGATACCAGAAGCTTCTGCGGATGGAGAGCCAAAGCCAAAAAAGCAGAGGCAAAGGCGGGAGAGGAGGAAGCCTGGGGCGCAGCCAAGGAAGCGGAAAACCAAACAAGCGGTTCCCATCGTGGAGCCCCAGGAACCCGAGATCAAACTAAAGTATGCCACCCAGCCACTGGATAAAACCGATGCCAGGAACAAGTCTTTTTTCCCTTACATCCATGTAGTGAGTAAGCGTGACCTTGGGGCCGTGTGTACAATCATCAATGCGGAGGAGGAGGAGCAAACCAAACTGGTGAGGGGCCGGAGGGGCCAGAGGTCGCGGACGCCGCCGCCCAGCAGCGCAGAGAGCAAGGCACTGCCGGCCTCGTCCTTCATGCTGCAGGGCCCCGTGGTGACCGAGTCTTCTGTCGTGGGGCACCTGGTGTGCTGTCTGTGTGGCAAGTGGGCCAGTTACCGCAACATGGGCGACCTCTTTGGACCCTTTTACCCGCAAGATTATGCCGCCACTCTCCCGAAGAACCCGCCCCCGAAGCGGGCCGCGGAGACGCAGAGCAGAGTCAAAGTGCGGCACAAAAGCGCTTCGAATGGCTCCAAGACGGACACTGAGGAGGAGGAGGAGCAGCAGCAGAAGGAGCAGAGGAGCCTGGCCGCGCACCCCAGGTTCAAGCGGCGACACCGCTCGGAAGACTGCGGCGGCGGCGGCGGCCCTCGCTCCCTGGCCCGGGGGCTCCCCTGTAAGAAGGCCACCGCCGAGGGCAGCAGCGACAAGACTGCTTTGGACTCGAAGCCCTCCGTGCCCACCACTTCGGAAGGGGGCCCCGAGCTGGAGTTACAAATTCCTGAACTACCTCTTGACAGCAATGAATTTTGGGTCCACGAGGGTTGTATTCTCTGGGCCAATGGAATCTACCTGGTCTGCGGCCGGCTCTACGGCCTGCAGGAGGCGCTGGAAATAGCCAGAGAGATGGTGAGTGTGCCCCCCCCACCCCCAAATCCAGGGGGCGGGAAGCTCGCCCTGCCTCTTCCCGCCTTCTGCTCCCCTCTTTCCCTCCTGCACTCGGCCCGGCCCCGCCAATCCGGCTGGTCGGTCCCCCAGGTTGGAGCCCCTAAGCCCACAGGAGGGGCAGAAAATGAAGTGATTTGGAAGATTTGTTTAACTTCTGTTTTTATGGGTTGGGTAGTGTGGACCCAAGGTGGCAGAGTCCTCCCCGGGCAGCCCCTCGCGGCAGAGCGAGCGTCCCCGCCCCCCCTCCACCCGCCTTGAACCCGCCCGCCCAGTGCTCTGCCGCCTTCTTCTGTTTCTGCACCATAAGCTTTTGCTGCTAGTTGTTTTATTTATTGGTCCTTTTCTCCCATTTTTCAACATCTGCCTCTGTAATACTTAACAGAGTACGCTGTGATTCTCTTTCCTTTCCTCCCAAACTCTTCCCTTCTCTGGAATTACTCATTCACGTTAGGCTTCTCTTGGACCACATTGCTCTAATCCAAACTTGACAACAGGATGTTCATTCTTTAGGTCGGTTTCGTAACTGTTATCCTGGGGTGTTCGTCGTCATTGTCACTCCCTTCTTTCTTCCAGCGAATGCCTTTCTTAGTCTTTGCCTGTCTTTGCCTTTCTTAGTCTGCGCCCTCATTTAACGCCGCGCATTGTCCCTGGGGAGTTTCCTGAGATGGGTGCGTGGGAGGAAAAATACTTGGAGACTTGTCTTGGGTGAGAAGATGTCTCTGTCCCATCCTCATGTTTGCTTGAGGGTTGGGTATGGAATTCTAGATTTGAAATCATTTTCTCTCCCTGTCTTAGAGTCCTGGCTCCCGACTTGGCCTTGAGCTTCTGGTGCTGCAGTCGCGGGGTCGGGGGCTGTTGGTTTTCAGTCCTTGGTGTGAGCGTGTGGACTGCCTTTCTCCTTTGGAGCGTTTGAGGATCTTCTCGGTTTCCCTTGGGGTGGGTCTTTTCATTCTCTGTGCTCCCCCCACTGGGAGATCTTGCCATCTGTAAACTCCTGTGTCCCACTTGGGGAAGTTTGTCCTGTGTTGTTTCTTGGATAATTTCCTTCCATCTGTTTTCTTGGTTCTTTCTGGAATCCTGCGAATTAGGTACCTCCTGGATTGATCCTCTGGCTTTACCTTTTCTCCTGGGTTTTCTCTCTCTCTCTCTCTGCCTTTTTGTTCTCATTTCTCCACGCTCTCTCCAGCTGTACCATCTAACTTTTTATTTATTTATCTTTGTTTCTCATACTCTCAAAACATCTTTCTCCTCTGAACATCTCTGTCGCGGGGACCTGCTTGAATTGGGCTGGGTTAGGGACCTAACTCCTCTTAAAATTTTGAGCCAACGACCTGGTTTCTGGCCCCACTTTCTGAGACGCCTGCTTCCCCGGCTCTGTGCCCCTCAGTGGCTGGTGTTCTAGTGGCCCTTCCACTGCGCTCGCTCGTTCCTCTCCCTGCCTTTCAGACTGCTGGGTCGTGCCCTCCTTGTCTGATTTCCAGCGTCCGGAAATGGGGACATCTCTCGTGTGTGTTCCGTTTCTCGTTCTTGGAGTCCTCATGAAGTTGCTGTATAAGTTCATCCCTTTATCTTTGTGGGAAGGGAAAAGATGTGAAAATGGACGTTCAGTCTATGATGCTTAGTGACATGAGATTTTTGTGTTAATTCGTATTTAAAGTTTACCATACTTGACAAATACACTGATGATTTTCAGTCATAGTGAAGAAGGGTCGTATCAGCCAGGATCCATAGTATTTTGGGGTACTTTATACTATTCTTTTGCTCGCCCCCTACACTTCACCTGAAGCACTCTATTTTATCATTGCATTGTTGCCAGAATTTACCACAATGTCTGATAAAAAGGAAGTCAAAGCTATAAACTATAGTAAAAAATGTTATTTAATATGAAGTTTATATACTTTTTATATTAGAACATTCTAATTCAGTCACATGAGGAGCTTGCTTTCTCTCCAAGACCCTCCCCCACCACGAGAGGTTTTTTCCCTCCTTCCTTCCCTCTCCATCCCCATAGTCACTCCCAATCCCCAGGTTTGAAATAGATTGGCTTCTTAGACACTGTGACATTTCATAATGCAAAAGCCTTAAAGGGACATGGCATTTAAGACCCTAAAGTACAGAATTCTTTAAATAGTCAGTTCTGGGTACTCCCTAATCCATCAGTCATTGTCTCGACCTAGTTGGTGGCCTGCCTGCCATATTTAGTGGTTTGTTTTGTTTTGTTTATTTGTTATTTTAGGTGTGTGTCCCTGCCCATCTGCCAGTGTTTTCTTTATTTCAACAGAGAATATTATTAATATCTCTCAGAGTAACTTCTGTGTGTAAACGGTTGAACATTCTGTAGCAGTAATTGGTAACTGGTGATCAGCAGGCTGACTCCTGCCCACCAGATCCTTAAATCCTGTGTCTCAGTCTAGGTCTAGTTGATAGAAAGTAGGGACACCTGAGAATGCTGTGACCACCCTAACCACAGGTGGCCCCTCTGTCCCAGAAAGGTTGGTGACCCACAGGCCTGCCTTTTAAAATTACTCATCAGGAATCTGTGTCCTCAGAAAGTGGCAGTTCAGCTTACTACTTGTCAGCTTTGATCCCAAAGTAAAATCTGGCATGTTATAATTAGACTAGATATATTGAATATGAATAAATCATTCTCTCTTGCCCACCGCCACCCCCCCCCCCGCATTGTCAGCTGGGTGGTTAAGATGACATGAAGCAATTTAGGTAGAGAATATTGAAGGTGTTTTTTGTTTTTTAAAATATTAATTCCAGCCTCTGCCACTTCAAAAGTACTTCAAATTACATGTTTTAAGGGATAAAAAGTTGGGGCACTTCATTTAAAGGTTAAAGATACAAAAGCAGGTATTTTTTGGGCACCGGGGTGGCTCAGTGGGTTAAGCCTCTGCCTTCGGCTCAGCTCATGATCTCAGGGTCCTGGGATCGAGCCCCACATCGGGCTCTCTGCTTGGCAGGGAGCCTACTTCTCCTCCCTCTCTGCCTGCCTCTCTGCCTACTTGTGGTCTCTCTCTGTCCAAAAAAAAAAAAAAAAGCAGGTGTTTTTGTGCTTAGGCTGCTCCTATATAGTAGAGGCTCTGAACTAGATTTTTGGGTTCTCTGGTAGCCCCCCCAGGGCTCACACGCTGCCACCTCTTTTAATAACATGTTTTAGAACCCAAACAGTTGACCAGTCTTTTTTCTTTTAAGTTGAGATGTAATTGACATATAACATTGTATTTGTTCCATGACAAATCTTAGATAAATCTCTGTACTGTAGCTTTACGATTATTTCCTTACATTGTACTCACATGATGCCAGGCCCTTTAAAAATACTAAACTTTCTCTTCCCTCGATTCTGTTCTGTTTATGTAACATCCCCATTTTAGAATAGAATGCTAGCTTTGTATATTGAATTTAATTTCTCAGTACACTCGCACATCTGTTTTACTCCCACAAGCCACCCAGTGAGATGGGAAGGGAGAAGAGAGAGACAGTACCATCCCGTTACCCTCAAAATAAAAGATGACTTGGCTTTAGTGACACACGCTCAGGTGGTATATAGCCCAGGGATGCCTTGATTTTAAAAATGGCTAAAAAAGAATGCTGCTTTGCCTTTCTGAGCTGACTGATGTTCCACTATGACTACAAGATCTTTTTCTGTTTTATTTGCCCTAGGTTTATATTCTCCTTTTCCTGATGTACTTGAGAACAAATTAAAATTACACTAACTTGCCTTCTCTTATTTAATTTGATAGATGCTGTTTCAATTTGTCAGGGCCACTCTGAGTCTAGTTTTATCTTAGGTTTTAGCGGATGCTTTCAATTTCAGTCCGCTTAACAGGCCTGCCCAATCCTATCATGTTGAGATAAGGCCACATATATTTCATTAGAGATCCATTTTGGCCCATGTATTTATCAGGTGTTTTGACAAGCATGATATTATAACAAAATAATATGAAGTCCTCGAGAGACAGTAGCTCCCTCCCTATAGGTGTCATACTGTGAAAATTGTGGAAACCTAGAACATTCCTGTTCAAGCAGATGGCCTTTGCTATCCTTCCTTTTCTGAGTGTGGGACTTCATTCATTCATTTCTGCATAGTCGTCTTTGGTTTTGTCTGACTTTGATTTCTGCTCGTTGATCTTGGTCTGATTATATATGTGAGCCCACGGTGACCTCTGATCTGGTGTGGATGGCGTGATAGAGGCACTTGCCTCTTAAACAGACGTACATAGGACTTGGTATGTAGAAGTCATGTTTGGTACATTTAGGAATGTGAAGGCCTTCAAGGTTCAGGGTTGTGTTGCCAGGAGAACTGACCTGTGTTTATCCCTTCCCTTCCTTCCCCCACCGCCTGGGCTGACAGCTCCCCTTCTGAACAGATTCTTAAACAACCTCCATGGGAATTTGTGTATGTTAACTGGATCTGGGTTAATTTCTTTTTTTTTTTTTTTAAGATTTTATTTATTTATTTGACAGACAGAGATCACAAGTAGGCAGAGAGGCAGGCAGAGAGAGGCGGGGGGAAAGCAGGCTCCCCACTGAGCAGAGAGCCCACGTGGGGCTCGATCCCAGGACCCTGAGATCATGACCTGAGCCGAAGGCAGAGGCTTTAACCCACTGAGCCACCCAGGCGCCCTGGTTAATTTTCTTTGGATCAGTATGTTAAAGATTATATTTAAAGTTTTTTTTTTTTTTTCAAGTTTTATTTATTTAATCCCTACACCCAATGTGGGGCTCAAACTCACAACCCTGAGATCAGGGGTTGCATGCTGTTTCTGACTGAGCCAGCCAGGGGCCCCTGAAGTTTATTTTTAATACAAGTTTAAATAGATCATCCTCCATTTCTAATTTACTGTATACTTTGACCCCCCCAAAAAAAACTGATTTGACAAGTGTAAAATATTAATAGATCGATGACATTATGAAAATATAACCGCATGTTAAAACATCAAAAACAGATCAGTTAG